AGCTGTCACTGCTTCCTAGGTGATGGGGAAGGGCAGAATGTCCTCTGGCTCAGGGCTGTGCAGGATGGTAAGACAAGGATGGCGGGATGGCACCCCTGGACTGCAGGGGCACAAACCCTGCAGGCGTGAGCCTCATCCTTCCCTGCTCACACCTTTGCATGCTTCCTCTGTGAGCTTGGGCACTCAGACCAATTAATTCTATTAACAAAGGGTGTAAATTAGAAGTGTCTGTGAACTGTATTGAGCCTCAATTTGCATGGTCTTATTCACAACAAAAGTGGCTGCAATTTGATTTAAATTAATTCACTTTCAGAATAAAATAACACTGAGTAGAATAAAAGCAGCTTTAGTTTTGAATGGTTGTCTGCGTAGAATTGTTTGTGGTTTAACTAATCCACTTCAAAAATAACTCTTATTAATTTTTGTGGGCTTTTCCCTCTAGGTTAGCTTGCTTTGTCTCTTTCTTTCAGTCTCCTATCAGCAAAATGGAGATAGTAGTAGCCTGCTAACATTTTAAAATTGCTGTGTTGAATACTCTTGGTAACTGCAGCATTTTGCCTTCTACTCGGTGCGTAGGTTTCTCAAAACCTGGGACTTGATTTTCTACACATGTGTAGAATTCTTGCCTGGCAGTGTTTTACAGGCTCTGTACGCAGCCGTACACGGCCTCACAAGACAGATAGCAGTGGGGAATGAAGGCTTTGCTGTGCGTTTTGAACTCTGACCATACAACTCCTTGGCTTTGGTTCCGTGTTTTCTTCAAAGACTGTGGGCCAAGACTTAAGAACTGTCTAACTTTTGTCATCTTAATGAACGGTTTCAGTGGTGTTAATGGGAACTAGGGCACTTTCTTTATTAATGGAAATCAGGTCATTTAATTACTTAACAAAAATGCACCTAACCTCGTCTCACTGCTTTCTGCACTTCATGAATTATGAACTTTAATCTGTTTTAGAGAAAGCTCTACTAAAACGGATGAAGCTGCAGTGGGTATAAAATTATCTTTTTATAATGGAAATGCTTATTGTAAAAATCAACACATTAGCATAACTTTCTTATTGGAAGTAGCTGCTATTTAAATCTTCGCAGTGATGTAGCATGGTTTGACTAAGTCATGGTATGTAACTACTGAAAGGCCAGATGAACACATCAGCACATCTTCTGTCAAAAATGGGAACGCTGAGATATTTTTTTTTTTTTTTAAATCAAAGCTTGGTGGGTTTTGGACTGGAGGGATTCTTTTATTCCTTCCCATTCCTCCCCCCCCATCCTACTGTCTGCTTCAACGTTTTCCTTTCTTTCTTGAGTGGTTTCACTCCAAGCGGGACTTCTTTTGTGCCTTTCAGTTGCCAGAAGCTGGAGAATTGTCATTATTTGAATTTTGCTGTTGGTTGTTTTTTTAAAATAAAAACCAAGATGCTTTCCAGAGAGTTAGGAAGAAACCAGTTCTCGGAAAGTGCTAAGGAAACAGTGGCTTTAGCTGAACTTTTCTATATGAGAGAAAGGTATAAATCATCTTCAGGCTTCAAATCTAGCTGTTCATAATAAAGCACATCACCTAATGCTCTAAAAATACCCCTGTGTATAGACTATGCATACAACAAAAATAAGCAACCCCAGATATTCTGGCAAGATCTGTGGTATTTTATTTCACTTCCTCAGTAACAGTAGTCATTGTTGGCACCTGGAAATGACTGTGAAAATACAGATCCCTGTAAAGCTGGGTAAATAAAGGGACGTGCTCCACTTCTGCTTGTCAGTAGAAGAAACTGTGATGTCTGACAGTTATTAATGAAAATATTTTCTCAATCTCTGCCATAAAGAATGCAGGGGCAAAATAAATCCTTGGTAAAATCTGTTCCCAAAATAAGCCAGCATAAATGCAGTTCAGAGCCAGAGACTTCCACCGCCATAGAATTTAGTTAAGGATCTTAAGACAAAAAGGTAACCTGTTTTTCCATGAACTCAAAGTTACAAATGCTGCCATGAATGTGTGTCCATAAAGAGAACCACCATCTTAAACAGCTGAAAGTTCCCTTTTGTCCATAAGTCTTTTTCAGAGGGAAAGAAACTGCTGTTGTCTTCGTTGTCCTCAGCATTGTGTATTAGAATTGCCTGCTCTGAAGCAGGACTTTTCTCTGATCCTATAGTTAACATTGCATCTGATCCTGCTGAGCTTAACTAGGAAATCTTGTGTTGACTGAATATGGCTTTTGCTTGAATAAAGAAATTGAAGAGCTCTCTGGAAAAGCTGGGCCTAGTTCCAATTTTCTTCTCAATTCTAAAATAAAAGGATGCTGTCAAGGTATTTGTGATTTATGGGGGCAAATGTGTTTCTCTCCTTCAAAATCTTGTATCGCTTTGGCAGCAGTTTAACATCTTTTCTGATTCATTTTATTCTATGCACCTTTTCAGTTTATTCAGGATAAAATAATAAAATAAATGTGTGCTTTATTTTAGAGGAAAAGAGATAAGACTTTCTCTTTGGGAGGAAAGCGCGCTCTCACCGGGGTTCTGAGGACACGTCATGCTAATTGTTGGTGACTTTTAAAACTGCTCTTTGTGGTGCAAGAGACGAAAAATTCTGTGTAGACTGAGGGCTTTCCAGAACGCTAAATGCTTTCTTTTGCTTGGTAAGTTGTTTCTTCATGTGTTTTATTTCTGTGGCAGATGTTAACCAAGGGACGTGAAATTCCTGCCAGAGAACACGCTGCTTTTGGTGCTCACACGGCTGCTGGTGCTCACCTTTGACAGAAGCCAAGGCTCTGTGTTGGGACTTGGGCCACACCGGCTGTGGGGCTTGGGGTCCTTCAGAGCCCTGCTGCCTCCTCAGCCCCACTGCCTGTCAGCACTCCTGCTGCTTCCACGCCGCTGAGGCCTGGTGCTGGGAGTGTCACAGACGCTCTGTTTCACGTTTCCTCTGTTGCTTTGTTTGTCACCACGGAATGTATTTTTACTGAAGATTTTTAGCATTTTTAGCTTCCTTTTTTGAAGCTTTTTTTTTTTTTTCTTCTTCCAAACCATCGCTCCTGTGTGAAAAACTGGCCTCCCTGATTGTCTGCAGGCCCTGCTCCTCAGCCTTTTTTCCAGCTTTTGATTGTCCCTTAATTTTCTGCTACTGCTGGGGGAGCACACTGCAGCTTTGCTCCCTTCTTTCTTCCTGCACCAATCTCTGGGTCAGGCCCGAGGACATCCTGAGAACAGCAGCTCACAGAACTTGCTTTCAAGCAATAAGTTCTCCCCAGCCATGCAGAGATCTTTTACATCTTGTTTTGGTAGGCTCTCACACTTCCCCCACTACCTCCCTGGTCTTTGGCTTTTACACAGTCAGTTGATCTTTTCTTCCCCTTCCCTAAACCTTTCGTCTTGCCTGCTTCCTCAGAGGTGGCTGACAGCATCAGTTCTTCCAGAGATGATGGTTTTTAATGCAGGTGTCCTCTCTACCTTCTTGTGTGCATAGTCAGGAAGACTGCATGCTAGTATGGCTGGCAGGTTTTCCTATCAGAGCAATGAGTACTTTGATTCTCCTGCTAGATAGACAAGACTTTGTGGAGGCTTCCCTCCAGCTTCCCATACACGTTCTGCTGTCTGCTTCTGGGCTGTCCGGCTCACCATTCTGGTTAACAGCTCTGACCACATCACTGCTGACACCCTCATTCCCTCCCAAAACACAGTCTTCCCTCCTTGGCCCTTCCCAGACCTCCTCTTCCCTCATCCCTGCCTTCTGCCTTACCACACTCACTCTCTCCTCCCTTCTCCTGCTGGTCCACTAAAGCCAGATTATCTGCCCTCCCTCTCTCCCTGCTAGTTCATCTCCTGTAATGCCTTCACATTTTTGGGGGGCCTAACGGCAGGCATTGCAAACCTGGGTATTTATTTACTAGATATGCCCATATCCATAAACTCCCAAAAATTTCACCTCATCCTTGGATTTCCTGGTGGCTGAGACCCCCGCATGGAGGCATTTCACACATGGTTTTTTTGCAAGGTGACCTTTCAGAGTAGTGGCACTTGGTCTTGAGCAGGCGTCCACCTCAGTAGATGACTTGGGTTGACACAATCAGTGGGGATTTTTTGCTCCTGATAGGGGAATTCCAAGCACCAGCTGCAGCCCTGAGGTCTGTCAGGGGGGAAAGAGGTGAGAGGGATGAGCTCCAGAGATCTCCCTGCCTCGGGTGGGGATGAGGAAAGGGAGCAGAAGTAGAACGTTTCCTATGTGGACTCTTTGTTGAGGAAATGGGCTGACAAACTTTCCTGCTCTGAGAGGCAGCCCTAATAGTAATAACAAGGACAAAGAAAAATCTTGCTGCTATTCACCGTAGAGATGGGATTATCACTCAGACTAAGTGCAGTGCCAACCTGAAGTAAGCCAGTACTTGCACAATGTGTACAAACCACTTGGATGTCCCCCTTCTGAAGACATGTTCCCAGCAGGTGCTCAGGGTGTGGTTCCATCCAGTGTGCTGCTTTTCCTGTGGTTTCAGAACTGCGAAAGAACATGTGCTTCATGTGTTTACTTAGAGTAACCCACCCGGAGATCATTACTTTTGTTGTTAACAAACCTATGCTTCATTTGTTCATATACCAGAAAATAAAATAGCATAAATTATTTGGATGTAATGTCTTAGCTTCCGCTGGGATTGAATTGTTTGAGTGTCTGGTATGATGCTATGTTTTGATTCTAGGAGGAAAACAGTGTTGATAATTCACTGATGTTTATAGCTGCTGCTAAGCAGTGTTATACAGACCCAAGGCTGTTCTCAATGAAGGGCCCAAGGAGCTGAAAGGAAACAGAATTAAGACCGCTGACTTAAACTGGCTGAAGAGATATTCTGTATCATGTTACATCAAGTGGAAGGAGTTATGAAGGGGGAGGAGTTCATCTCTGGCCCCCACTGCTGCCTGGGGGGCTAGCTGTCCAAGGGTGGTGAGCAATTGCTTGTACATCACTTGTTATATGCATTCATATGTGTATATACATATATATATATATACACACACACACATATACACACACATTTATATGATCTTTTTCCTTTTCTCTATCTTAGTAAATAGTTCTAGCTCAATCCATGAGTTCTACTTAGTTAGTGATTCTCTCCTCTATCTCACTGGGAAGAGTTGGAGTGAGCAAATGGCTCATGGTGGTGCTGAGCCACCTTCCAGGTTAAACCACAACACTTAGATTTTCAGCATCACTCTTCCAGATAGGGGTTCTCCAGGAATCCTAACTTTTTGCTAGTTAAAATGATCTCAGAAGAGAAAAACAGCTAACAGACCAAATACAAAGAGGAAATGCTAGCAGTGCATTACAATCAAAAGAAAAAATGACAGAGCTGGTTGGGCCATTGATTTCTTCTGTACTGATCATAAATTGTAAGTAAGCAGACTACTGTAGAGATGCTAAACAAAGCATGTAAGATTATTTAAAATTTAGAAGACCTGTAATAGCAATGAGGAAATGAACGCGACAGAAAGGAACCTTGAAAGGTCAGCAAGCAGATTAAATGTTGAAACAGTACAGACCAGTTCATCTAACAAAACACTGACCAAGGCATAAAGTGCAACATGAGAAGTGGGAGCACATTCCGGCAAACGAATGACCCCGGTGTATTTCTCATGCAGAAAACCTACGAAGTGGCTGGTGTAGCTCAGTTGATCAAATGGCCCTGTACCTCAGGGCAAGCCTGCACAGATAGCACAGGGGTAAATCCTCACAGTACCTGCAGTCACTAGTGCATATAGAAGAAAGACAACAGTGCAGATTGCCTTCCGCTCTGTGTTTCATATTGCTCTCCCTTTCTCCTTCAGATCACAATTTTTTTATTTAAAGCACAATTTTTTTACGGGGATCAGATTCAAAATGAGAGATATTTTGATGTGATAACTCTGTAGAAAGAAAGTGGAGTTTCACTGCTGTGAACAGTTGTAGAATGAAGGGAGTGTGTCCACATTCCATTTTATTACCTGCTTCTTTGTTTTCCCTTCCCAGTGGGCACAGAGAGCGTTTGCTTATACATGTGTGCCCAAACAGATTCAGGATCCATAGCTGAGGGAGAATTTAAGCCCTTCAAAATCACTGGAAGAACCTGCTGAGTTAATTTTTAGCGTAGTCAGTTTTGCAGTTTGGAGTTGGCTGGACTTCTGATATATTGCTGGGGTTTCATGGTTACTGGCAAAGTGACCAGAGAAGTATTTCACAGAGTCATCTAAAGGAGAAAAGAAAACATCCTAACAGAAGACATTCCAGCAGATGACTTAACTTTTAAAAATCCATTTTGAAATTTGTGTATATAACTCTACATTGTACACAAAATTGTAGCAGAAAACCCGCTTCTAATTTCTCTTTTCCTACATCATAAGTATATTGCCCAGTAAAGATATGTTCAAATACATTTTGTAAGAGATAATATAAACCTAAGAGTATAAGGAGTGACGAACACTTGTTCTCAAAAAATGGTGTAACAGATTTGATGCTAATTCGTAGTTCACTGTCTGACTAGTCCATGTAATGTCTCATTTAAAGCCCTGTGATGTTTTGCTAATAGGATTCTTTTCATTGAGCTCTGTATAAGTATGTCTGTATAACCTTGTTATTAGTCACTTAATTAACCATTAATTAAATTAATACATAGTGTTTAAAATCTGCATCTTGCTAGTATACAATAGGACAGCTTTTGAATATAATAGCAACTTACGTTGAAATATTTTCTTGTATTTTTTAAGAGTGTGAGCACACTTCCTAGACTCAAAATACTCAGACTTACTGGCTCCCACAGAAAAAAAAAAAAAAAAAAAAGAAAGAATAAAATTATTCAAATAGCAAAGCTGCAAAACTACAGTTCAAAGGGTGAAACTTTTCCAAAGTGATCCAGTAATAATAAATGTAAATTTTGCAATGACCACTTGGTGTCATCTAGTCAGAGCTAGTTTGTTAGATTCTTGTTCTAGGCTTGGTTTTAGTGTTAAGAAAAAGGCATTTAATCTTGATTATCTGAGAGCTCAGGGCCCAGTGTTAGCTCCTATTCTCTGTAGGTGAGATCCTCAGAGGCGGTATTGCGCAGTCATTGGAAGACCACCAACCTAACAATTGCAGTCTCTCTTAGGAAGGCTGCTCTGAGGGCAGACCATAGTGTACTACTTGAGTCTTTTTTGCCCTGATTGCACAGTTGTTTTGCTGCCAGCACCTGTGGTGAGCAGAAAAGGTGATTACATCTTGCTCAGTCTATCTGAGGTCAAAACCTAGGGTTCAGTAAGTGGTAGACAGAACTATCAGGTGGCAACAGAGGAACCCTTAGGAGCTCCTGTGAAAATCTGGCGTCAGCTCAGAGCAGCTCCACTCACTCAGCTGCATGAGCAGGCAACTACTTTGCCGGTTTGCCAGTGAGAGGAAAACGCTCAGCCCTTGAATGAGACAAACAACTCCAGGTCTCCTGGGGGGAAGCACATTTTTCAAGAACTCCTTGTGAGGTGAAACACTTGGAATATTTTTTCCTTTGTGAAGGGCCTCCTCTGTTCTGCTCCCCAGTTGGGCGACCCCGCAGAGAGTTACACCCAGCAAATGGGTAATTGCTTGGAACTTGGAACTGAGGCTTGGAAAATCTTTTTGTGTTTAAATCTGTACCTAATCAAACGTCTACTCGCTCTGTGAGGAGAGAGCATAGAGCAGAGCAGGAGAATATTTCACAAAGATAAGGTTTTGATTTGATGGCTTTGCTGACCACTTGCACTCGGTTTGCCAGGAGACTTGTGTAGGGAGAGGATGTTTTTGTAAGGGTTTTATTTGTTTCATGTATCAGTTTGCTGTATTAAATGTTTATGATGGTTACCTTTGCTGCTTATAGACTAAAGAATCTGATTGTGTTTGGTGCTGTTTACCACAAAAAGTGTAATACTGGGAGCATAACGGAACTGTGAAAAAACAGAGGTAGAAATAAGGACAATTAGTAAAATGCAACAAATATGCAGTTGGTTACTTACCAAAAAGAAAATAGTCATAGTTTGTCAGCACTGTGATGATCTAGTTATCCAAAGATCAGACTATTGCAAATTGATGTTGACAAACTGGGGGGAATTCACATAAAAGAACTCAAACCACTGTTGGACTTTAAGGACTGGTTTATGGGAAAGATTAAAACAGCTAGATAAAGCCTGTCTGTCTAGGTACTTGCATAACAGTAATGAATGTGATGCATTGTGCTGCGTGGTGAAGGACTTGGTGGAAGCCGAGGGAATCCAGTGACCACTTACAAAGTTGTAGGCTGCAAGCACGAAGAAAGGAAAAAAAGTGGATGAGGATTGCTGAAGGAGCACAAGTGCTAAGATGAAAAGGAGGAAAGCTCATGCCAAACACTAGGAAATATTACCTCCTGTGAGAACTGTTAGTCTGTGGTCAGAAGTTATACAAAACCCCTCAGTTGAGTCATTTAAACTGAATTGTAAAAAACACTCTAGAAAATATGCTGTATTGGCACAGGGTGAGCTTAGATCGGGAACAACCAGTCTACCCCCTGGTTTCCTTTTTCCCAAGGGCCATTTACAGCTAGCATGGTAGATATTATTTGACTTAGCAAGAAGCAGAATGCATATGGCTGGAGGCAAAGAAGGAAAATTCAATGCATGGATTTTGTGCATGGTGAGAGCTCAATGGCTTCTCTGTGCAGATGCAGTAGCCCCACGGGCATGACATGTGGCACAGACAGGCAGGAACTAAGCTTGATACAAGCTTTTTATCAACTCTGATCTGATCTGCCCTACATCACTGTTCATTCTGTGTGAAGAGGAGCTGCTAGAAGACACAGTGAATACAGAGGGCTGTCCAATCACTCCTGTTGATCCTGTGTTCACGTTTCGTGGTCAGTTGTGTCTGTGCAAGGGAAGAGACAGGCAGCAGGCTCGCCAAGACATGGCTCCTCACTGCTCTGATGTGCATCACCTCTCTCTCCTGCCTCCACAGGTTTCCCACATTTTTGGCCAAGGAGAAAAACAGTTGAGACTGTCACTGTGAGCATGTTTCCTTCCTGTCTTGTATTGGTAAGGCAGGAGTTACAGGGATTTGGGGGGAAGCTCTACAGCAGCTGGAGAGTCTGGGAAAAAAAGAAGCATTGCTCTGTTGAGAGCCTCAGGACAAAGGTGCGAAGTGAAAAAATTATCTGGTGTGTAGAAAATGCTAAGTCTACTTACTCACCCTGCTGAGGTCAGGGTCTTGGTGGTGCTCATCATGCACACTCCATTGCTCCTGTTTGCTTCTCCAGGAGACTGCTCCCTGTGGCTTTACCCCAGCACGGTCACCACAGCATTGACCTGGCCAAGGAAATTTAAGAACAGTTTCTATAATAAATGCCATCTTTATTTTGAGGGAAAATGTTATTAAGCCTCAATCCTCAATCCATATTTGCTGGAGAATTTTATTTTTCATTTCATTTACAAAGGCCACCTCAGAGTATGCTTTGAAGGGAATGAGCATGGGTACTTATTTCCCGATAGTACTTATTGCTCCATCACAGCAAAATGATCCCAAAGGCATAAATAATTAATTGTTTAAGCACTTCGTGGGTTTCAATGTGTTTTTTATTCACAGTACTCCTTTGAGCTGCAGAAATGCTTTATCTGATTAAAGATGTTATTTGTATTGTTCTGATGGGCATGGAATGGGCTAAGCCTGGTCTGAAGTGAAAAGTGGAGGGACTGAAGCTGTCCTGCAGAGAGAAAGGGGAGAAGGAGAGGATAAACCTGAGGAAGAGAGATAGGGGAGAGTTGTGCCTTCTGCTCATGCTAGTGGGTGCTCACCTGGTGAAAAAAGGGAGAACCAGCAGCAACTGGTCAAGTAAGGTCAGGTGGCAAACCCGGCTTCTCAAGCCTGTGCCACCAGTGGAGCAGACCACAGGGCTGCTGTTGACAACTGTTGACATCCAATCCCAGCCCTGTGCTAAGCCAGACCTTTGAAAAAATAGCCAGACTTATCTCTTTCTTTCAAAATCTACCTAGGGATGCACTGTTTGTTTATTACATGCCTCAAAAATGTGATGGATGTGAACAGATTCTGTTGAATTCATGGTCTTCTGGGATGACAATAAGAAAAAGAAAAAAAAAAGTGCACCTGCAGTTTCTTATCTTCATACTCTTTTCATGGAAAGTATCCTGCACAAAACCTGCTGCCAGCCCATGACGTTCTGATGTGGAGACAAAAAGATTTTTGGATTAATGACATACAACCTCATGCCCAGTGAATGCAACCAGCCTTCCCCAGGTATTTGGAGAGTGATTCTAATAATTTTACTTACAATACTTAATACTTTTCAAATACTTAGATTCTTCAGCATTCTGACCTAGTGATGTCTGTTCATGTTATGTATTGCAGCAGGGGAAGCCAGACTCAGCTGGAGACTTTCTACTCATACGAGTGTGTGGGCTGCAAAACAGCAGGATGCTCTTCAAAGGATGTCCTCCAAAAGTGCCTTTGGTCTCCATACCTGAAGCATGTTAAATTTTGGCTAAATTGCAAAGCATCTTCCTTTCTTTGTCAGTCTTAAAGTCCTGGTAGCAGAAAGTGGACTTGGCTCCTTTTAAACTGCAGTGGGGTGTATAATCTGCTTGATAAAGCATCCTTAGCAGAATAAGATAGGTAATCTTTTCTGGAGGAAAAATGGGGTAAAAGCTCCAGTGAATAAATACAAGATTGTTTTCAACACTCTCCTCCTGGACTCCTGCTGTTGAGTGACTGCAAAATTCAGAGAGATTATTTTGGCAGTTCCAAAAATCTGTCACACAGATTGGAGTTTTTTTTTCCCTTGCATTTGTCAATGTGTGACTAAGCACAAGTATTACAGGAAGCATGGAAATGTTTGGGCTTTAAAGAATGGTTGTGGAAAAAGACCTCCTACTGGTTTAACAACTGCTGTTTAATAAAATAATTTTCGGATGTCCAAATTGCTGATTGTTCCGCTGAGGGTTACGTTCTGACCAGAAGGGATCCCACCAGTCCCATGTCATCAGCCTGGGCACTTTGTGAAGTTTTCTGCAGCCATTTCCTGCTTCAAAACAATGAAGGATGAGAGATGCTCATCGTTACTCCCTATGGTGCAGGGATGTGTTCATCTCAGTCTCTAGGATGGCATCAAAATCTGAGGAGAAGGAGTCAAAACAGTTTCACTGAGGTACAAGGAAGAATCATTGCTTGGGAGATTCAACTGTTTGCTTGATTTGGAAGGCCCAGCTAGAAGGGGAAAAGCAGAATGTGTCTCACTAAAACACTGAGAGTCATTGTGGATATGCTGGGAGGAATTTCCCACTTCTCTATCCACAGCAGGACCCTGGCCCAACTGGCTGCTTGCAGACTGCTCTCGTGCTTCCTTCAGTAGGGCTTGCACTCACATTGCTCGTGGTGCTTGGACTGTTTTGTTGTAGTAGCACACTGTGCCAGATCAATTGCTCACGCATGCGATCACTCATACCTGTTTCACTTTAAGCTCTTTCCTGCTGTGCTGCAAGGCTTGAGTCTTACTCACTGTCTTGTGAGGTGCTTGCAGAGTGCTGCTGGATGGTTTTCTACATGCGAAGTGCACAATGCTACAGGCAAATGCTGAAGCTTAAAGCACAGCCATGTTCATGGCTGGTCTGGCATGCTCTTTGCAACGTGTTTCCTCTCCCATTATTTTTGGGCATAATACACAGCTTCAGCTCTCCATGCAATTGTGCATTCTTAGTCTACATGTGGCTGCAGACAGCAAATTGATGATGCCACCACATTTTTATTGTTTTTTTTTTTTGTTTTTTGTTTTTTTACAGGCAGCCAGCAGATGCCAGGAAGTGTTGCTTATTGACATTAATCATTACTCTGTTGATAGCCCTGGGCGTGCTGCTGTAATTGACCAGAACCAAATCCAGTAATCATATCATGGAAAATATACATCACATTTATTTCACATCTGAATTACAGTAATATGAATTCATGGCAAAATTCTCAGTGACTACGTCAGAAGCAGGAGGAGAGCCTTTGTCTGCTAGCACAGATGTAACTAAGCTGTTAAGCACAGTCTGATGTGCTTAGGCAGGAGGCTGAGGCTACATCAAGAAGTTATAAAATTATCCTCCAGGATCTTGTAGCCTAAATCCTATTCAGATGAATATAGAGAAGTCTCTGTAGTTTGTAGTGTTTGTAGAACTGTGTTTTCCAATTGTGTTTTCTGTTGTTTTCTTTGAGCATTACCCTTCAATAGATGGGGCTGCTACAATCTCTTCAAAGAATATAAATACTCTATTAAGAATGTGTAAAAAGGCCTTCCAATAAGACAGTTGAAGAAGCATTTCTTTTTACAAAATTATCTACAGAAAATGATGAGAACAAACAAACAACAGCTGAACAGTAAAGCATCAAGAAGAAACACATCTGAGGTTTAATTTGATCACTTTATGCCTGGGAAACAGAATGAGGAGTTAGTTATTGAGCAATATTTGTATCACATTGACTATTGTGTTAATGAATTCAATTTTTATTAAATAGCATCAACATGTTAGATATTACACTGGAAAGAAATAAAGATCAGTAGTTAGCCAAAGTAGTCAACTGATTTTCTTTCTATGGTGAACGTAAAATCTATGTTGCTTGTTCAACAAAACAGTTCTTAAAGAGATGAGGCTTGAGAATACCTTAAGTTGCCATGAACAGCAGGGTCCAGGAGGAACAGAAAAGATTTGATGTCAAAACTTGACTGCAGATATTCCTTTTGACCATTTCTTAGTATCTTCCCTTACTTAGCTTACTTACTAAGGAAGACAGCTTCTTCATAATGATAAGGAAACAGAGAGGCTGGTGCACGCAGCTGCCTTACCTTCACAAATTCACTTTGGAGATCTTTAAAATTTTCTGTTTCTTTCATGTTTTCATCTTTCTTTTTAGTCATTGTGGTACTTTTAAATACTGTGGTATTTAAAAGCTGAACAAAACTCAGAGTGTAGCCTTTTTGTTTCAGTTCTCCAGTAACAGAAATATTGCAGTCAACCAAAACTTCAAAAGCTACAAATTTAAGTTGACTGCTGCCTCTTATCCAGCCGCATACTACTTCAGTTTGGGAAGCATATGCATTTTAACACTGATTCTCAGTTTTCAAACCTAATTATTAGTAGCCAGAGAGAAATGGTTGAGACATTTCTGTTTTTCTCTAACTTGATCCACATGGGATCTCCTTTGAAAAACTTGTTGCTGTAAATTAAGCAAATCCTTAGGTGATTTGTTGTCTTAAAACTTCTGAGCCCAGGTTGAATGTGCTGTACAATCATATTATTTCCTTGTTGAAAACTGTACACCTTTGGTAATGAAATCAGAACACAATGAAGTTGGAATCCATCCTACCATGACTTTATCCACAACTTTCTGCTCTATATAGACATGCACTTAAAAGAACTGGTGAAAAATTCACAGTCCTGCTGCTTTCCCTGCATCCACCCATTCCTAGGAAATGGCTGTCAGGTCAGTTAGTTATGTCCCAAGAGGAAAAACTTTAAAACCAAAGCTATCAAGGTTGAATTTCATATTGCTGTACCTCCAGAAAGGTTTGAGTTACATTAATGATGATTTTGTGGTTGAATTTCTTGGCCAGGGTGGTAAGTGAAGGACTTCCTGGTAATGAGATGCTCACCTAACTGGCTGGATGTCCAAATTTTCCTCTTAGTATTCAGCAAACCTGTAGGCTGCTTAAAATTCACCTTTTTCCATGTATATTCTTGGCCCCAGCTGCTTTTCCAAGTGCCAAAACTTTGCTAGGAAAAAATGAAGACCCATAAGAATGCATACTCTGATTTTACTTCATGGAAGAGAAATCTTTTTCTATGCTGGCATTAAACTCTTGAAGGTGAACAAAGAGGGAGACATGCCTAGAAATGCACAAAGAAGCTGGGTTAATTAAGAGAGCTCCCACTGCCCTCCTTCATGAAAGCTGTTATGCTTTTGAAACCCTGGAGATGGTTTCACTGTGAATTTGTGAGGTTAGGAATACAGCTGGGATGCTGAGACTGTGGGCTGGGTGGTATGTATAGAATGTGTTTGATCAGTTTCCCCAGTTGTATTAGAAAGAGATGGCATAAAAGAAACAGGGTGGAAATAAGCAGAAAGGATGAGCAGCTCCCTCTGGGATAAGTCTGAACTGATTTAGATTGCGGGAAATCACTTTTTATGTTGAATGCATTTTCTTAGAGATTTCAGTGGGGAGATTTTTTTTTTCTGGTCTGTATCAAAATCACAGAAAATATTTTTTAGCCTTCAGAAGCACATGACTCAAACTTTGCCATTCATTTTGCCAGACGTTAGCAAAGCAAGCTAAAGCCCAAATTTCTGTGTATACTTTCTTTCAAATAACGTACCAATCTCGGAGGTGATAGCCGAGCCGCTTTCCATCATCTGTCAGCGCTCCTTGTTGACTGGTGAGGTCCCAGAAGACTGGAGGCTTGCCAATGTGACTCCCATTTATAAGAAAGGTCGTAAGGAGGATCCGGGGAACTACAGGCCTGTTAGCCTGACCTCGGTGCCAGGGAAGGTTATGGAGCAGATCGTCTTGAGGGAGATCATGCGGCATGTGCAGGGTGACCGGGGGATCAGGCCTAGCCAGCATGGGTTCATGAAGGGCAGGTCCTGCTTGACCAACCTGATCTCCTTCTATGATCTAGTGACCCATCTGGTGGATGAGGGAAAGGCTGTTGATGTGGTCTACCTAGACTTCAGCAAAGCCTTTGACACTGTCTCCCACAGCATTCTCCTGCAGAAGCTGGCATCCAGAGGCTTGGATGGATACACTCTTGGCTGGGTAAGGAGCTGGTTGGAGGGCCGGGCACAGAGAGTGGTGGTGAATGGAGTCAAATCCAGCTGGCGGCCGGTCGTGAGCGGTGTTCCCCAGGGGTCGGTGCTGGGGCCTGTCCTCTTCAATATCTTTACTGATGACCTGGATGAGGGCATCGAGTGCACCCTCAGTAAATTCGCAGATGACACCAAATTGGCTGGAAGTGTGGATCTGCCTGGGGGTAGCGAGGCCCTACAGAGGGACCTGGACAGGCTGGATGGCTGGGCTGAAGCCAATGGGATGAGTTTCAACAAGGCCAAATGCCGGGTCCTGCATTTTGGCCACAACAACCCCAGGCGACGCTACAGGCTTGGGGTGGTGTGGCTGAAAGACTGCATAGAGGAAATGGACCTGGGGGTATTGATTGATGCTCGGCTGAACATGAGCCGACAGTGTGCCCAGGTGGCCAAGAAGGCCGATGGCATCCTAGCTTGCATCAGAAACAGTGTTGCAAGCAGGAGCAGAGAGGTGATTGTTCCCTTGTATTCAGCACTGGTGAGGCCGCACCTCGAGTACCGTGTCCAGTTTTGGGCCCCTCACTGCAAGAAAGATATTGAGGCCCTGGAACGTGTTCAAAGGAGGGCAACAAAGCTGGTGAGGGGTCTGGAACACAGGCCATATGAGGAGAGGCTGAAGGAGCTGGGAATGTTCAGCCTGGAGAGGAGGAGGCTCAGGGGAGACCTCATTGCTCTCTATAACTTCCTGAAGGGAGGTTGTAGTGAGCTGGGCGTCGGCCTCTTCTCTCGTGTCATTAGTGATAGGACCAGGGGGAATGGCTTCAAGCTACGGCAGGGGAGATTCAGGCTGGACATGAGGAAGTATTACTTTTCAGAAAGGGTGGTCAGGCACTGGAATGGACTGCCAAGGGAGGTGGTGGAGTCACCGAGCCTGGGGTTGTTCAAGGAAAGACTGGATGTTGTGTTGAGGGACATGGTTTAGTGAGAGCTATTGGTGATAGGTGGATGGTTGGACTGGATGATCTTTTAGGTCTTTTCCAACCTTGGTGATTCTATGATTCTATGATTCTATGATTCCATGATTCATCTCACCCTCATTATTTTACACAATTAACGTTAGTCAGTTTTCAGTGATTTTCACTGTTTCAAAAAATACTTTTCTTGCCTGAAACACACCTACTATGGGTGTACTTGAACACTACTATCACTGGTCTAAATACATGTAATTGCAGCATGTTGGACAAACAACATGGGTGATGGAAAACATGGTGCTGCTCTTTATAAGTCATTGAAGTTGAACAATGAATCTTCATCGCACCCTGTTAAGCTTACCAAAATTAAGGTTGTCCAGGAGATCGTAACACTTTCATAAAAAGGAGGTACTTACAGCACTGTAAGTCGTATTTGGAGGCAAAAGCACCTTCAGCTCTCAGTGAGTATAAAGAATGGTGCTGACATGCATCAGAATACGTTGTGTCTCCTCTTCCCTGGTGAGCTGGGCTCTGATCATCTGATTCCTGTACCAGCAAGGAGGGATTTCCTTTGCTGACAGGACCATGGATAAACATGGCAGAAAGTAAAGAGCATTAATGATAACAGATGTTGTAGTGTTTTGCTGTGTTTACAAGACTCCTCTGTACTTTGTGTATAATATGAATTATATATAAATGATTGATTCTCATTTAATTAATGTAAGATGAAATGAGCAGCTCGGAGCTTCCTAAAGATGCAAATAAAGAACTCAGTGTCTGTTTGAGAAACTCTGTGATTGGACTTGACAGCAGTCATTAAAAAATGGTCCTTAATTAAATGGGCACCTTTAACTTTTGTCTTGCAAACCACTACTCAGCTCTCTTTCCTTCCTATGTAAATATGGGGGCTGCACTGAGATTATAGTGGGAAAACAATACCAATTAAGAAAAGTTAAGGTGTCAGAATTAAAGGGAAAATAGTTTTAAAGTTTGTTTGATTGTTAAATGCAATCATTATGTGCAAGAGATGTTGCACTCACAGGTTCTCATCCTAGTGTTGTATTTCAACCACTCAGATATCCTGGGAAAACAACATGATGAGCTGTAAGCAGTCCAGGAGCCTCCTGGAGTCCATTGACAACAACTTTCTGGTGCAGGTATTGGACAGACCCACCAGAAGTGAAGTGTTACTCTGTTCACCAACATGGAGGAGATGACAAAAGAGGTTAAGATTGGAGGCAGTCTGGGCTGCCATGCTGTGGTATAGTTCATGATCTCAAGGAACACAGGCTTGGCAAAGGAAGGAGTCAGGACCTTGAACTTAAGGAGAGCAAACTTCAAGCTGTTTAATGAATTGTTGGATGAGACACACTGGGAAACTCTCCTTAGGGACAAAGGAACAGATCAGAGCTGGCAGTACTTTAAGGATGCCTTTCTGAGAGCACAAGAGCTCTCCATCCTCCAGAATAAGCAATCAGGCAGACAAGGCAGGAAACCAGCACGACTGTGCAAGGATCTCCTGGTCAGGCTGAAGGAAAAATGTGGAGAAGTATAAGCAGTGGAAACAGGGATAGATGGCGTGGGAAGAATATAGGGATATTATCTGGATGTGCATCGATGGAGTCAGGAAAGCCAAGATGCAGGTGGAATTGAACCTGTTAAGGAACATGAAAAAACTACAAGAAAGTGTTCTTTAAATACACTGAGCAGAAGAGACAAGCAAAGGAGAGTGTACCCCCTCTGATAAACGAAAAGGGAATGCTG